TTCACAGGGGAACAACTCGCAGGGGTGCCTGGGGGGGCTGTATCCAGGGTTGGCTCTCCTGAAGGGGCTCAGGGCTCGCTATAAGCTTGACACTGTCTTGGGCTCCCCAAATTTGGGGAAAATGCATCCAGCAGGGAAACCTTGGCTCTTTCCATCATTGAGGAAGTGGCTGGCAAAGGAGGCACTAAGAGGCAGAACCCATCGAGACCTGGAAACCAGGATCTATCAAGCCTGTGTGTGCCAGCCTCGGGCAGGGGATGTTCACTCAATCATCTCATTAGCTAGTCAGCTAATGTTTACTGAGGACATACTATGAGCTCCACAGGTTCTACTTCAGGAATGAAGATACACCTATATCTTGCAGACCACCAGGTAATAAGCAAGTGATGTAACACATAAATTTTAAAAATTCCAGTTTGTGATAACTGCTGTTGAGACTTTCTTCAAAAGAAGATCAGACGTATCATTTAGAAAGTGCCGCTAGTTGGTGACTACACTGGGGTGAGTGGTGGGAAGTCTACTCTGAGGTGGTGACTCCTGCGCTGAAGCCTGTTGGATGAGAAGGAGCCGGCCATGGATGGTGGAGCAGTACAGGGGACCACATGGGGAGGGCTGGCTAAGATACCAGCTCTGTTGGCTCCATCATTCTCTGTCCCTGGGCTCACTCATGACAGCTCTGAGGGTAACCACAGGAGAGCCTTGAATCAACCTGGTGAGGAGGCAGGGTGGGATTGTGGTAAATGTTCAATAGATAAGCATCCTGAGGTTCAGAGGGGTTGGTCACTGTCCCAACATCACGCAGTGAGTGAGTGACAGAGGGGGCAACTGAATGGTGGCTTCCTGGTTAGACTTTCTCCCACTGTTCCTTCTGTGTTTTCAGGTTCAGATGGAGATGCAAACCATGGAGGCTGCCATGAGAGGCATGGGCTGCATGTCATTTCCTGTTCATGAACTTATAAACCATGGGCAGCGTTTTTGAGAGTTGTAGCAACATCAGACCATCTTGAGGAGGGTGCTTCTTCCCAGGGGCTGCCAACCAACACTCCCCCAGGCTGTTACATTGTGCACCGTAAAGGCTGCCTCATTTCTAGTAGGGTGAATGTGGATGGGGACCCTGCCCTGTGAACCAGGGTACAACCACCCTATGGCTCAAGCATGCCTATAAGTCTTCTGCAAATAGTGAATCCAGAAGAGCTGGGGGCTGGCTCTGTCCATTCATTAACACTAAACTTCTCTCTTAATCCAGAGTGCAGAACAGGTGCAGGCAGAGATCAGCTTTGAGCAAGGACAGAGAGACACCACCACACAGCATCAATGACTCTGTTTTTTTCCCCCAAAGCCCAAGGTCAGATCTTTGGCAAAGCCTGGGTTATTAGAGCTGAGACCAGCTCTCACCACCTGCAGGTGCTGGGGAAACTACTCATTCATTTGCCAAGAGAAACAACCGCCCTGACCTGGAAATGCACCCATTGACGTTATCAGCACTCTTTCTTCTTGTGATGGATCATGCCAGGAAGCCAGGCTGTAATCCAAAACCACCATATCAAATCCCCTTGGGAAACAAGACAGTGGGTCCTTGTCATGAGCATATTCTTTTTCTGAAGGAGATGTCCAGCCAGTTTGGAGCAAAACCTGAGATGTGTGTGAAGAGCTTGAGTTGGCACCTGGGATGGCAGGGGGAAATGGGGCAGGTTGTAAATGGAAGCCTGGGACCACCACCATCCAGGAACAGGTCAAGAACGAGGAAGCCATGGGTGGAACTGAGCTGGAGTGGTCACAGAAGAAGGAAGAAAACCCGAGACCAAGGGGTAGACAGTTTTAAGATGGCAGGAGTGGTCAGTGGTGATGAACACAGCAGAGTTGTCCAACTACACAAGGACTGCAGAGTGGGTGCCCATGAGATCTGCCTATGGGAAGGTCACTGATGACTGGACCAAGTGAGGGGAAGAGGTCATCATGTTAAGGGTGGTTAGTTTGTTGGTTTAGAGTAGAAGTGCTTTAGCCAGTGGTGATGGATGACAGAGTGAGCTCTGGAGAAATGGGAGTGTCGGCTGCCATTCCCAGCTCATCCTTATTTAGACAGAGGAGGTCTAAATAAATCTCCGGGGGAAGGCAGTCAACTTTTAAACTTTTTGTTAACCTGATATTGGCTAATGAAATACAAAAAGGAGGAGATGATCTTCAACTTCAGATAATTTGGATCTCATTATGCAGAAGATGACTGCCTAGGTTTCTTGAGAGGACAAAACACAAGTCCTCTGGCAATTTTCATTCAACGACAACAATACTGCAATTTGCAGCCTTTATGACTTCAATGAGTCAGTTGGTCTCAGCTTGCCACAAAGGATATAATCACGTATTTTTAGGCATGACAAAAATGTATTTTCTTTTGTGAACAGATTCTGAGCCCTTGGATAGAGGTGTTGTTTTTAGATGACATCGTTGCTGCTTTGGTGACTTGATGGGTTTCAGATAAGAGTGTTTCCCCTTTCAAAACATTGCTAACTGCCTGGGAGGTCAGGCACACAATGGAACAGAGGAACTTCATTCACAGTACTGGCCTCCTAATATCTGTGTCACTCTTAGGAATGCTGTGGCCTTTCCAAAATCATGATCAACGATTTTGGAAACATCCGTGTTTACAGGGCCTCAGAGACGATGTCGGTCTTCCTAGGCATTAAACTCCAGCACCTGTGATTCGGTGGATCCCAAATTGTGGGCCAAGAACTTCCATGGGTCACTAGGTTTTTGCAGGAGGACTGAGCATTTTCTATGCTTGCATTTATTTTCCAAGTCATAGTATACTAAAAATACAATGTTGTTAGGTTAGCTACCCCCAGAAGCAGACCCGATTACAAGAATTGAAGTGCAACTTGTTTCTTTCAGTGGTGGTTGCAGGATGCACTGGTAGGGGATGAGAAATGGAGGTGCGATGGTTAATTTTATGTGCCATCTTGGCTGGGCCATGGTGCCTAGATACTTAGTCAAAATCTTTATGGATGCTTTTGGATGAGAGTAACATTTACATTGGTAGACTTCAAGTAAAGCTAATTGTCCTCCATAAAGTGGGCATTCAATTATTTGAAAGACTGTATAGAACGGAAGACTGACCTGCCCCAAGACAGAGACAATTCTTCAGCAGACAGCCTTCCATCTGGAATGGCAACATCGGCTCTTTCTTGAGGGGAGAGTCCCCAGCCTGTAGGCCTGACTGGCAGATTTTGGATTAGCATTTCAGCTAAAAGGCCATATGTAATAAGTTATGAAAATATACAGGCTGTGAGTAAATCCTAATGTTGAGCAGTCGTGAACGGATATATATAGTATATTTAATTTGTTACTTTCTTTCTCCTATGATATAAATGGTGACAAAATATTCTGGTCCAACAGAGTATTAATAAAAAGTAGATAATTTCTCAAACACCTAACTTAAGTAATCATGTTTAACAAAGAAGATTCATTTTTATTATTAATTAAACAAATAGTGTTTGGAATTCTTTATGTTTCCCCCAGAGAACCAGAGGAGGAAAACAGAGCTTCATTCCTGAGGGAGGAAAACATGAGGTTGTAATAAGTTAAACACTTTTGCACAGGCTTACCGTTGAGAAGTTTTCTTTCTTCAGATTTTCCCTCATGTCCTTCTCATGTTTTCTGTTTTCTTTTCTCAGCCCTTGTATGGCAAGAAAGAGTTCCTAGAGAGAGAAGACAAAGACGGTCTGTGTTGCAAAAGAAGCCCTCAGCTGAAGATTGAAGAACCGAATGTGCCACATGCAAGGGAACTGGAGACAATGAAAATCTTGTCAAGTAAGTTGGTTGCTCAGACTTGGTCTTGACGGGATGAAGGTTCCATTTTCATGATTTGCTCATCACAGAAAACAAGTGAAACCTAATTGGCAGGGTATGGCCTTTATTAAAGTATGATTTAGTGGAAACACTACTTCAGAAACAGGTTTCATCCACGTATTAACCTCCCATAGATGGTTACACTCTGGGTTTAGGTGTCAATAAGATGAACAATCTGCCTTTTTAGCATAGCGAATGATTTGTCTCTTGACAAACGAAGTTGACAAACTTCTCTGTATACAGGCGATGAACGTGATTTGATCTAAACACTTTTCACCAAGAATATTATGTTTTCCATCAAAACAATAAAGTGACTACGCTCCATTAGTATGGTGCGCTTGGCTTTCTTGGGGGTACTCAGCGGCATGCCGGGACATCCGTCTCGGGATTGGAACCATACGAAAAGCTTCTGAGATGCTCTCTTCACCTGATCTGCCCCCATGGGAGGCCAGTTTCAGGTGTTACCAACTGTGCCTCACGCCGGGATTGCTGTTCTTTCTTTCTGAACTCTCAGGATCCCGCGATGCTTGTGCCCGGGGCTCGTGTCACAGTGACCGCCACCTTGGCTTGGGACACCGTCTCAGCGGCTTTGCAAGGCCGGGGCTTGCTGCGGTAGGGCCTTCTCCATCAGCAGTGCTGAGTCCAAGCAGGGGTCCCTGGACTTGGAGACCAAGGCAGGGCCCCTTGGTGTGTGGCCCATATCCAAGGGGGGCAGTGAGTTCACGGAGCAGGGGAATGTTCTGCTGACACCCTCCTGGAGGGTCTCAGACCCATGTTTCTGGGTTCCACGGACCCCCGCCACACCTCATCAGGCTGAATCTCCAGCTCAATGGGACCCGACCTCGGCCCACGCCTTCCAAGCCGTCCGGGTTACAATGATGAGGGCACTCCCGAGTGCCCACTTCACGATCTGAATCGCCCTCGCCCTCCAGCCGATCAGATCAGGAAAGCCTCTCAAAGAGGTACGGAGGTCAGAACTGTCCGTCTCCTGCGCTGCTGGTGGCAGGCAGCCTCCTTCCCCGGGACTGCCCCGGGCACCGCCTCAGGCATTGTCCTGTGCGGCTGCGGTGAAAGAGCGCAGACACTGGGGCCCGCCATCCGGGACCACCAATGCGCATGCGCAGCCGGGGCGTCACAACCGCGAGCGTAGCCGGGGCTCGCGTCACAGTGACGGCCACCGTGTCCTGGGGAACCGTCTGAGCGGCTTGAGAAAGCAGAGGCCCACTGCGGCAGTGCCTCACGTTGGGCGACGGCCCCCCACTCACGGCGATTGTCGCCACGGTCCCGCGATTTCCGGAGTCTGGCTGGACAAACCAGGCGGAGAAAACGTCCAGCGGAGCTTCAGGGATGCCCAGGGCGATGGATCCCCAAGGATCCCCCAGATGCTTCAGGCCCGCCCAGACGGTGTTGGGGTGCGTCTCCTTGAAAGCTGTCCCTACTGGGATTTGCAGGTAAGGTCAGCCTGTGTGCTGCGGGGCTGCTCTATCCCCGAGGGGCTTCCCGGAAGCGTGCAGAACGCCACAGCCTCAGGAGCTGCCTGGACTGTTGGATTTCTCGGCGTGGCTTAGACTCTGTGTGTGTGTGTGTGTGTGTGTGTGTGCGCGCGCGCGCGCATGTGTGTGTGTCTCCGTGTGTGTTCACGTGTGTGTGCGTGTGCTAGCGCTGTATGCTTGACAAGGGGTGTGGCCAGTGCACTCCAGCGCGGTTTCTCTGTAGTCCGCCTATGTTCTGGTGCGCCTCTGACCTTGGCCCAGCTTACGGGCTGTGGGGCCCCGTGTTCTTTATGTTGCTCCTAGTTTCTAAAGCCTCAGTGTCGTGGGGGTCAGGCTCCCACCCGGAGGACTCCTAATCACCTGCCCATCTCGAAGGGGTCAATCCTCCAGAGAAAAGATGAGCACAGCAAACCCAAAACCAAACTCTTCCAAGGGCCCTTGGTCCTTCCTCACATCTAGGGCTGGCCCCGTCCTCAGGACCTCTTGAGGGACTATGCTGGTGTCCTTCAACTGATGTGCATTTGACCTACCGAGGATTCTTGTTAAAAGACAGATTGTCATTCTTGTGTTAGAGTGCCTGACCATTGGGTTACGCCCCCCCCCCGCCCGACAGCCATCATTGCCAGGGTCCAGCAATTTCCGGAGTGTGGCTTCGCCGACCCAGGCTGACAAAACCTCCAGCGGAGCTTCAGGGATGCCCAGGGCGATGTATCCCAAACGATCCCCTAGATACCTCAGGCCTGCCCAGACGGTTTTGGGGTGCCTCTCCTTGAAAGCTGTCCCTGCTCGGATTTCCAGGTAAGGTCAGCCTGTGTGCTGCGGGTCTGCTCTATCCCCGAGGGACTTCCCGGAAAAGAACAGAACCCCACAGCCTCAGGAGCTGCCTGCGACTGTTGGATTTCTTTTTTTTTAATTTTTTATTGCATTTTAGGTTTTGGGGTACATGAGCAGATCATGTAAGACAGTTGCGTAGGTACACACATGGCAGTGTGTTTTGCTTCCTTTCTCCCCTTCACCCACATTTGGCATTTCTCCCCAGGCTATCCCTCCTCACCTCCCCCTCCCACGGGCCCTCCCCTTTTCCCCCCAAAAGACCCCAGTGTTTAGTACTCCCCTCCCTGTGTCCATGTGTTCACATTTTTCATCACCCGCCTATGAGTGAGAATATGCGGTGTTTCATTTTCTGTTCTTGTGTCAGTTTGCTGAGGATGATGTTCTCCAGATTCATCCATGTCCCTACAAATGACACAAACTCATCATTTCTGATTGCTGCATAATATTCCATGGTGTATATGTGCCACATTTTTCCAATCCAGTCTATCATCAATGGGCATTTGGGTTGATTCCAGGTCTTTGCTATTGTAAACAGTGCTGCAATGAACATTCGTGTACATGTGTCCTTATAGTAGAACGATTTATAGTCTTTTGAATATATACCCAGTAATGGGATTGCTGGGTCAAATGGAATTTCTATTTCTAAGGCCTTGAGGAATCACCACACTGTCTTCCACAATGGTTGAACTAATGTACAGTCCCACCAACAGTGTAAAAGTGTTCCTTTTTCTCCACATCCTCTCCAGCATCTGTTGCCTCCAGATTTTTTAATGGTTGCCTTTCTAACTGGCGTGAGATGGTATCTCAATGTGGTTTTGATTTGCATCTCTCTGATAACCAGTGACGATGAGCATTTTTTCATATGATTGTTGGCCTCATATATGTCTTCTTTCGTAAAGTGTCTGTTCCTATCCTTTGCCCACTTTTGAATGGGCTTGTTTGTTTTTTTCCTGTAAATCTGTTTGAGTTCTTTGTAAATTCTGGATATCAGCCCTTTGTCAGATGGGTAAACTGCAAAAATTTTTTCCCATTCTGTTGGTTGCCAATTCACTCTAGTAACTGTTTCTTTTGCCCTGCAGAAGCTGTGGAGTTTCATTAGGTCCCATTTGTCTATTTTGGCTTTTGTTGCCAATGCTTTTGGTGTTTTGTTCATGAAGTCCTTGCCTACTCCTATGTCCTGGATAGTTTTGCCTAGATTTCCTTCTAGGGTTTTTATGGTGCCAGGTCTTATGTTTAAGTCTTTAATCCATCTGGAGTTAATTTTAGTGTAAGGTGTCAGGAAGGGGTCCAGTTTCTGCTTTCTGCACATGGCTAGCCAGTTTTCCCAACACCATTTGTTAAACAGGGAATCCTTTCCCCCTTGCTTGTTTTTGTCAGGTTTATCAAAGATTGTATAGTTGTAGATATGTTGTGTTGCCTCTGGTGCCTCTGTTTTGTTCCATTGATCTATATCTCTGTTTTGGTACCAGTACCATGCTGTTTTGATTACTGTAGACTTGTAGTATAGTTTGAAATCCGGTAGTGTGATGCCCCCTGCTGTGTTCTTTTTGCTTAGAATTGATTTGGCTATGCGGGCTCTCTTTTGGTTCCATATGAAGTTCATGGTGGTTTTTTCCAGTTCTGTGAAGAAAGTCAATGGTAGCTTGATGGGGATAGCGTTGATTCTGTAAATTACTTTGGGCAGTATAGCCATTTTCACGATATTAATTCTTCCTAACCATGAACATGGAATGTTTTTCCATCTGTTTATGTCCTCTCTGATTTCGTTGAGCAGTGGTTTGTAGTTCTCCTTGAAGAGGTCCCTTACGTTCAGTGTGAGTTGTATTCCAAGGTATTTTATTCTTTTTGTAGCAATTGTGAATGGCAGTTCGTTCTTGATTTGGCTTTCTTTAAGTCTGTTATTGGGGTAGACAAATGCTTGAGATTTTTGCACATTGATATTATATGGTGAGACTTTGCTGAAGTTGCTTATCAGTTTCAGGAGTTTTTGGGCTGAGGAGATGGGGTCTTCTAGGTATACTATCATGTCGTCTGCAAATAGAGACAATTTGGCTTCCACCTTTCCTATTTGAATACCCTTTATTTCTTTTTCTTGCCTGATTGCTCTGGCTAGAACTTCCAGTACTATATTGAATAGGAGTGGTGAAAGAGGGCATCCTTGTCTAGTGCCAGATTTCAAAGGGAATGCTTCCAGTTTTTGCCCATTCAGTATGATATTGGCTGTTGGTTTGTCATAAATAGCTTTTATTACTTTGAGATACGTTCCATCGATACCGAGTTTATTGAGGGTTTTTAGCATAAAGGGCTGTGGAATTTTCTCAAATGCTTTCTCTGCGTCAATTGAGATAATCACGTGGTTTTTGTTTTTGGTTCTGTTTATGTGGTGAATTACATTTATAGACTTGCGTATGTTGAACCAGCCTTGCATCCCCGGGATGAATCCTACTTGATCATGATGAATAAGTTTTTTGATTTGCTGTTGCAATCGGCTTGCCAATATTTTATTGAAGATTTTTGCATCTATGTTCATTATGGATATTGGCCTGAAGTTTTCTTTTCTTGTTGGGTCTCTGCCGGGTTTTGGTATCAGGATGATGTTGGTCTCATAAAATGATTTGGGAAGGATTCCCTCTTTTTGGATTATTTGGAATAGTTTTAGAAGGAATGGTACCAGCTCCTCTTTGTGTGTCTGGTAGAATTCGGCTTTGAACCCATATGGACCTGGGCTTTTTTTGTGTGGTAGGCTCTTAATTGCTGCCTTGAATTCTGACCTTGTTCTTGGTCTATTCATAGTTTCAGCTTCCTCCTGGTTTAGGCTTGGGAGGACACAGGAGTCCAGGAATTTATCCATTTCTTCCATGTTTACTAGTTTATGTGCATAGAGTTGTTTGTAATATTCTCTGATGATGGTTTGAATTTCTGTGGAATCTGTAGTGATTTCCCCTTTATCATTTCTTATTGCATCTATTTGGTTGTTCAATCTTTTATTTTTAATCAATCTGGCTAGTGGGCTGTCTATTTAGTTGATCTGTTAAAAAAAAACAGCTCTTGGATTTATTGATTTTTTGAAGGGTTTTTCGTGTCTCAATCTCCTTCAGTTCAGCTCTGATCTTAGTTATTTCTTGTCTTCTGCTGGGTTTTGAGTTTTTTTGATCTTGCTCCTCTAGCTCTTTCAATTTTGACGATAGGGTGTCAATTTTGGATCTCTCCATTCTCCTCATATGGGGACTTATTGCTATAAACTTTCCTCTAGAGACTGCTTTAAATGTGTCCCAGAGATTCTGGCATGTTGTGTCTTTGCTCTCATTGGTTTCAAAGAACTTCTTCATTTATGCCTTCATTTCATTGTTTACCCAGTCAACATTCAAGAGCCAGTTGTTCAGTTTCCATGAAGCTGTGTGGTTTTGGGTCGGTTTCTGAATTCTGAGTTCTAACTTGATTGCACTGTGGTCTGAGAGGCTGTTTGTTATGATTTCAGTTGTTTTGCATTTGCTGGGCAGTGCTTTACTTCTAATTATGTGTTCAGTTTTAGAGTAGGTGTGATGTGGTGCTGAGAAGAATGTATATTCTGTGGATTTGGGGTGGAGAGTTCTGTAAATGTCTATCAGGTTTGCTTGCTCCAGGTCTGAGTTCAATCCCTGGATATTCTTGTTAATTTTCTGTCTGGTTGATCTGTCTAATATTGACAGTGGAGTGTTCAAGTCTCCCACTATTATTGTGTGGGAGTCTAAGTCACTTTGTAAGTCATTAAGAACTTGCCTTATGCATCTGGGTGCTCCTGCATTGGGCCCATATATGTTTAGGATCGTTAGCTCTTCTTGTTGTATCGATTCTTTTAATATTATGTAATGGCCATCTTTGTCTCTTTTTATCTTTGTTGCTTTAAAGTCTATTTTATCAGAGATGAGAATTGCAACTCCTGCTTCCTTTGCTCTCCATTTGCTTGGTAAATCTTCTTTTATCCCTATATTTTGAGCCTTTGTGTATCCTTGCATGTGAGATGGGTTTCCTGGATACAGCACACTGATGGGTTTTGGATTTTTATCCAATTTGCCAATCTGTGTCTTTTGATTGGTGCATTTAGTCCATTTACATTTAGGGTTAATATTGCTATGTGTGAATTTGATACTGCCATTTTGATGCTAAGTGGCTGTTTTGCCTGTTAGTTGTTGTAGATTCTTCATTATGTTGATGCTCTTTAGCATTTAGTGTGATTTTGGAATTGCTGGTACTGGTGGTTTTTTTCTATGTGTAGTGCCTCTTTTAGGAGCTCTTGTAAAGCAGGCCTGTTGGTGACAAGATCTCTGAGTACTTGCTTGTTCGCAAAGGATTTTATTTTTCCTTCACTTCTGAAGCTCAGTTTGGCTGGATATGAAATTCTGGGTTGAAAGTTCTTTTCTTTAAGAACGTTGAATATTGGCCCCCACTCTCTTCTGGCTTGTAGTGTTTCTGCCGAGAGATCTGCTCTGAGTCTGATGGGCTTCCCTTTGTGGGTGACCTGACCTTTCTCTCTGGCTGCCCTTAGAATTGTCTCCTTTATTTCAACCTTGTTGAATCTGACGATTTTGTGCCTTGGGGTTGCTCTTCTTGCGGAATATCTTTGTGGTGTTCTCTGTATTTTCTACATTTGAGTGTTGGCCTGTCTTTCTAGGTGGGGGAAATTTTCCTGGATGATGTCCTGAAGAGTATTTTCCAGCTTGGATTCATTCTCTTCATCCCCTTCTGGTACACCTATCAAATGTAGGTTAGGTCTTTTCACATAGTCCCACATTTCTTGGAGACTTTGTTCATTCCTTTTTGCGCTTTTTTCTCTGATCTTGGTTTCTCATTTTATTTCATTGAGTTGATCTTCGACTTCAGATATTGTTTCTTCTGCTTGGTCAATTCGGCTATTGAAACTTGTGCACGCTTCGTGAAGTTCTCATATTGTGTTTTTCAGCTCCTTTAATTCATTCATATTCCTCTCTAAGTTATCCATTCTTGTTATCATTTCCTCCTATGTTTTTTTAAGTTCCTTAGTTTCTTTGCATTGATTTCATACATGTTCTTTTAGCTCACAAAAGTTTCTCATTATCCACCTTCTGAAGTCTAATTCCATCAATTCATCACAGTCATTCTCCGTCCAGCTTTGTTCCCTTGCTGGTGAGGAGTTTTGGTCCTTTCTAGGAAGTGAGGTGTTCTGGTTTCAGGTGTTTTTCTCCTTTTTGCGCTGGTTTCTTCCCATCTTTGTGGATTTATCCACTTGTCGTCTGTGTAGTTGCTGACTTTTGGATTGGGTCTCTGAGTGGACACCCAGATTGTTGGTGATGAAGTATTTCTGTTACTTGGTTTTCCTTCTACCAATGTAGCCCCTTCGCTGTATGATAGCTGAGGTCACCTCCAGGCCCTGCTTGTCTGGGGTGCACCTATAGCAGCTGCAGAAAAGCGAGGGATGCTACCAGTTTCTTTTTCTACTATCTTTGTCCCAGAATGATGCCTGCCAGATGTCAGTCTTTTGGATATAGAGGCATTAGGGAGCTGCTTGATGAGACAGTCTGTACTTCATAGGAGCTCAATGGCTGAGCTGTGAGCTGTGTTGTTCATTTAGGGCTGATAGGCTGAAAAAAACCCTTTTTTTCTGGGGGGGGGTTTGAGGCTTTCCTTGTGAGTTTCCGCCTCGCTGTCCTGCCCAGCTAGGAGGCAGTCAAGTTACTATTTGCCTGCCGAGGCTCCGCCCTGCTGGTGTGTGGTTCGCCCTGTTGCTGCAGGCTCTACCCTTCTGCTGCAATCTCTTCCCTGTTGCCACGGGCTACGCCCTGCAGCGGAGTCTCTCTGTTGTACTGGGTTGCTCCGGCAATGGCAGGCTACATCAGCAATGGGCGTGTACCTCAGGGGGGCTGATTGCCTCGGTAATGGCGGACGCCCCTCCCCCACGGAGCTGCGCTTTAAGAAAACCTCCTCATTGGGAGGGTTTGGAATCTCTGTTTTGTTTGTCGCACTGCGCTAGCCCAAATGGTTTGTCCCTGCGATTTCCTGGGCTGGCTCCCTGCCCAAGTCCCGTTCAGTCTCAAGTTTAGCCCTCCCAGGTCTCAGTTTGCCAGTTCAACAGGGCACTCGTAACAGTGCGCTTTTGTATGGAGCGCTGTGGAGCACCTGTGTGCTCCGGCGCGGGCCGGAGCCACACCGGCTGCTGGCTACACCAGCCGAGACCTCTGCCTGGCGTCCCACGTCTCTTTTGTATCTGGGAATTTCTCCGTTCTGTGGGCAACTAAGATCCGTCTGGAAATGCGTCCCCAACTCACCCTCTCCACGCATCCAGCAAGAGCTTTAATCCTGGGTTGTTCTCACAGCGCCATCGTGAGTCTTCCCCGACTGTTGGATTTCTTGATGTGGCTTAGTCTCTCTTTCTGTGTGTGTCTGTGTGTGTGTGTGTGTGTGTGTGTGTGTGTCTTTCTTTCCGACTTTTACAGTGCTGAGAAGCAGGGGTCCCTGGGCTTTGAGACCAATGCAGAATCTCCAGCCCCATGGGACCAGATCCTTGCTCATGCTGTCCAATCCTGTATCCAATGGGGAGTTCAGTCTCGAGTGCCCACTTCAAGATCTGAAGTTCTCTCCTCCTCCAAGTGACCCGATCGGGAAATTCGGCTCAAAACAGTACTGAGCAGAATCACATCAGCTACTTCTTGGTACCTCTGCCCAGATCAAAAGTCGGACCAAAACCGACCTCAAAGAGCCACAGAAAAAATAAAATAAAATAGGATATTGGACCAGACCCAGCATCGCTTGGGGTAAAGACAAGCCTGTCCAGTATGTACCCTCAAAGGAAGAGTACCAGGAAAACCACAGAGGCATGCCGAACCCCAGAGCAGCTTCTTTTGGCTGAGAAGCCTCCTGGGTCCCACACTGGGAGAACAGGGAGTCTTCTTGTGGCATGAAGCTTCCATTTCTGAGCTAGTCCTAATGCTGGCCCCACTCCTCCTCCTGAGCAGTGTCACAGTGTCCTTCTGACCCTGTTGTTTGAAGCTATAGTGAAGACAGCCACATAAGGGCCCCTGCCTAGCCAAGACCTTGCTGAGCGTGACAACTGGAAAAAACTGATAATCTTCCAGGGTGTATGGAATGGTGTCAGCTGGCCCAGACCAAATCTAGTTGTTGGGTTTAGTATTGATGGAAATAACTGATCTCAGGCCCACAACCTGACAGGGACAGCTGCGCCATCTCTCAAATCCAGGCACAGAGAGCTGCCCTTAATTTCCCGTGCCAGCCCACCCAGCCAGAGCTACCCAAGGTAAGGGAAAAGTAGAGGCAGGGCCCTTTATTTGCACAAATACCTCCAAGAGAATGGGGTCACTGCACCAGCCTGTGACTAGAGGTGGATATTGGATCTCGTTTGCTCTGCTGGATGCTTCAGGTCAACGTACCAAACCCAACTTCCCTGGGAAGCTTATGTACAAAGGCACACAGAGTCAGGCACCTGTCAGGACATGAGCCCATGCAAACAGCCAAGCCAGAGGATAGGACCCATTCTTCAGGTTTGAGGGGAAAGAGAGGATCCGCAAGATACCAGCTCTCAAATGTTAATTAACTTGGAAGCCTCTCAGGAAGTTTTCTCTACACTCTTACACCCTCAAACAGAATCCTAACAACAGCCAAGATATCTGACCAGGCACTCACCCTTTTTCCAGTCTCTGCCTCCAAGCAGAATCTCATTGAATCCAAACAGCCTTCAGTGGTAGGTGCTGCTATCAACCCTGTTCCTGTGGTCCACATTACCAAGCCACTCAGCCAGGACCACACAGCAAGGCAGGGCTGAAGTCAGGATTGAACCCAAGCAGACAAGCTTCAGAGCTGAGCCATACAACCCAGAGGCATTGGGGAGTCCAAAAAATGGGCGTTGGTGAGGAGTGGGCTGCACAGTGTTTTTCCCTGCACTGCATCTCCTCACATGTCCCGGACAACCCACAGGAGGTTAGGACTAGGCCAGAGAAGAGAAGGGGATCACTAAAAGCACAAAGCCCCAGTGGCATGAGGTCCCCAGCTGGAACTGCATGTCAAGTGATACCCACCTATTAAGGGCTGGGTTTTGGGCCCTTGGGTCCTTATCACTTACTCCCCACAAAATGGAAACCCTGAGTTAGGGAGTCTTTTACCCTCATGTGACAGATGAGGACACAGACTCAGAAAGGCCAAGTGACTCACAGAAAGTCACACACTGGTTAGGAGTGGAGACTTGATTCAAACCCAGAAGGACAAACCCAAAGCCCCTTTCTCTCACACCTCATCTCAAGGCCCGTTCTAATGGGCACAGAGAAGCTTGCGCTTCCAGACCAGTTCCATACATTTAATCTCTTGCATGGCAAATGCCTGGACTTTGCTTCACAGAAGTTGATTATGGAGTCACTGGAATGGGGTGGCCTGAGCCCTCAGGAAACATCCCAACCCACATTCCGATTGCCCTTGTTTAGATGGTCAGTCCTAGGAAATCCTACTCCTCATCCCTTCCCAGACTCCATCTGACAAAAGTGCCTCCAGGAGGGCAGGAAGCCCCATCTCCACACACTGAGAGAAGACAGGGGTGACACAGGCCTACATCGTAACTCTCACCAACATCAGCCCCTACAGACCTGGTGGCCCTGGGCCTTGTTTTAAGTGGTATATGTAAAATAGTAACTTTTGCCTTTCCAGCTCCAGCCCCAGACCCTACAGTCACTGCGATGTTGATGCCTAAGAAGAACCGGATTGCCATTTATGAGCTCCTTTTTAAGGAGGGAGTCATGGTGGCCAAGAAGGATGTCCACATGCCTAAGTACCCAGAGCTGGCAGACAAGAACGTGCCCAATCTTCATGTCATGAAGGCCATGCAGTCTCTCAAATCCAGAGGCTATGTGAAGGAACAGTTTACCTGGAGACATTTCTACTGGTACCTTACCAATGAGGGTATCCAGTATCTCCATGATTACCTCCATCTGCCCCCAGAGATCGTGCCTGCCACCCTATGCTGCAGCCATCCAGAGACAGGGAGGCCTCGGCCAAAAGGTCTGGAAGGTGAGGGACCTGCAAGACTCACAAGAGGGGAAGCTGACAGAGATACCTACAGACGGAGTGCTGTGCCACCTGGTGCCAACCAGAAAGCCGAGGCGGGGGCTGGGTCAGCAACCGAATTCCAGTTTAGAGGCAGATTTGGTCATAGACGTGGTCAGCCATCTCAGTAAAATTGGAGAGGATTATTTTGCATTGAATAAACACAGCTAAAAAAATAAAATAGAAAGAAAGAAAACTAGTAACTTTCTATAACATTCATACAAAGAGGAGACACAGGGTCTTACTCATTTTTCTAAGCCTAAATACGAGAGTCAATATCTCTTCCACTGGCTGGTTCAACTCACAAGGAATGCTAATCATTATTGAACCTGTGAGCTGAACCAAGGTATATGTTACAATGGCACCTCTTAGTAGGGAGCAAGCAGGAAAGACACATCACCTAGGTGCTAGGCCATGGATATGTCACAGTCTTTTCAGAAAGCAGAGACCAGGCTGGAGAGTCACATCATTAGCATGCTTAGCCAAGAATATTTTAAAATCTCCTCCTGAAAGCCATGTAACAGGAACAAAATCACCTCATCTGGGTGCTGGGCCCAGCAGTATGTCACAATGCTCTCTGTGGGAAAATCCCACGCAGGAGAGACACATCAATTGGTTCATGGGTGCAGAAATAAGTCACAATTTGTCTTGTTGGCAACATTCAGGCAGAAAAAGAGTCACAATTCTGAGGTGATGGCTGCAGACATACGTCACAGGCTCTCACTGCAGGCAGGGCTCAGGCAGGAGCCTCACATCCCCTAGGTTCTGGGCCTAGTGATGTGTCCTGGTACCCAAAATATGTGGGGCAAAGCAAAAAGAGGAGAGTTTCATCATCTAGAATCAGAGACCAGGGACATGTCACATTTCTTTTTTCTGGCAGTGCCCTGATGAAAGAGAAGAGTCCCATCACCGTGTTTCTGGGTACAGCAATACATCACAATCCCTTCTTGGTCAGAGCCCAAGTGGTAGAAGAAAGTCAGATCACTTAGGTCCTGGGTTCAGAAATATGTCAGGATACCTAGGAGGAGAGGGCACAGGAAAGAGAGTCAAAAGAAATATGTCACAATCACACCTGCAGAAACATCCAGGGATGGAAATAACCATCATCCCCATGTCCCAGTTCTAGGTATGAGTCAATACATTCTGTATGTTGGGTCTCAGCACATGAGTACAATCTCAACAAGGGACAGGATCCTTACATGACAGCCACAATCCCTCCTCTGCACTGTATTATTTTCAAAGGGTCACACCCTCACAGGTGTGCTGAATCTTGGTCAGGTGGGTTGCTGACTCTCCACATACGAGAGTCAGTTTTCAACTTCTGACTGAGTCTGGGCATGAGATTCAAGACCTTAACACCAGCTGTGTTCATGTAGCTGGATGACAATCTTTACTGTAGGCTGGGTGTGCATGCATGTATCACAATCTCATTTGTATGCCTTGCCCTGTAGGCTATGGATTGACTTATAGATTGAGAATGATTTTGGATTTGGAACTGTGGCTCTCTTGCAGGGATATAGTCCACTGTTAAGATTGTGACTCATGTACTTGGAACCAACTCAAATTAGATCTCTTGACTTTTGTACATGAAGTCAGAAAATGTGTGGAATTTTGAATCTCATTTCTACACCTTCTTGCTGTGTTACTGTGACAGGTACCTTTGCCCAGTGTCTGAGTGATTTGATTATCCTGCCTAAGTAAAGCTGTCAAAATAAAATTGTGATATATACCTGGGCCAGGCATTTAAATTATTTTGCTTTCCTGCATTGGCCTTGTCCTCAGGAAAAAATTCAACATATCAATGGTCCTATAACCTAGGTTACATAATCATCCGCTTCTGCCTGGGCCATACCAACAGAGATGGTTGTAGCATATAACTGAGCCAATCACCTAAGTGGACTTTGCTCTTTTGTGTGGGCTTTGCCACAGTGCGGGTTGTGACTTATAACTGAGCCCTATGCATAAATGATATGACTCTCCTGCCTTGGCCCCTCCAAAAGGAGGCATTGTGATATATCAATAGGCTCATCAACTAAGTACTGTGACTCTCCCCTCTTACCTGAGCCTTGTCCACAGGGTGACATATTACTGTGCCCTACAGATAAATAATGTGTCTTTCCTGCATGAACCTGACCAATGAAGGCATGGAGACACACTGCTGGGCCCAATACCTAGGTTATGTGACTTTTCTGCCATGGCCTTGCCCACAGAGGGGATATCCACATGTTTTTGGTGCAGCATTCAGGTGATCTGATTATCTTTTCTGCACTATTCACACAGGCTAATTTTGACATATAGTTTTCCGAGCTCACAGACATTACAATTACACTCATATGAGAACCCAGATAATAGGATGATTTTGAGGCTCTTAGCTAGACATCAGGCAGTAGGTAAAGTCCTGGGTTTCCTACTTTTAGAAGGGTCACAGTGATGTATGAAATTCATACGTTTTCTATAAACACTTTTTGTGCTACAGAGAATTTAATAACACGGCTGAGCACACAGGTGAGATTGTGACTCTCACAGGCACACCAAGCCAACAATTAGGAGTGTCACTTCCAAACCTAAAAGAAACACACTGGTGAGCTTCTGGACCTCACATGCAGATAGAGTCCACAGTTAAAAGTCTGACTGCCATGCGTACATCTGGAAACAGGTTGAACAGTGACTGATTTCTGGACCCAACTCAGAGGCACAGTGATTAGTTGCATACCTGGACCTAGCCAACAGGAGAGATGTTGACTCTCATAGGTAGCCTTAAAGCAATGGGCAAGGTCCTGGGCTTTCTACTTGTATGAAGGTCATGGAAGATTACAAAACTCATGCATAGTGTATGGCCCCTTCTGGTGGTACAGGGAGTGTCATAACAGATCCCAGTACAAAGCAAAATTTGTGATCCTCATAGTTGTACCCAAACACAAGAGAACTGTCACTTCCACACATGAACAGAGACCACAAGTGAGGTCCTGAGTATCACATGTGCATACTCTCCACAGTTCAAATTGTGACTGTCATACCTGAATCTGGCCAGAGGTAGGATGGTGACTTCTTTCTGCACCCAACTTGCAGGCACAGTGAGAACTGTCATGTCTGAACCTAGCCAATAAGAGAGATGTTAGCTCTCATTCCTGTGCTTATGACAGTGAATAATATCATGAGTTCATACCAGCACGTAGATCTCAGTGTGGACTGTGACTTTCAAGCATATCATAGAAAGCCCTCAGGTGGCACCAAGTGTGTGATAACAGGGCCCAGTTTACAGGTGAGATAGGGATCCTCATATGCAAACCCAGTTTACAGTAAGGATTTTCACCCTCTTAAACAGACACAGCCCATTGTTCAGGTTCTGAATCTCACACTTTGAGGCAGCTAAAAGTTGGAATTGTGAGTCTCATACATGGATCAGGTTCACAGATGAGATAATGACTCTCAGACCAAGACACATCACACCTCTGAGGCTGTGACTCTACTACTAAGACACAATCTGAAGCTTGAATTGAGGTTCCCAGGCACCAATCTATCCCAATACCTAGATTCAGATTCTGACTCACATAAATGAACTGAACACACAGGAGGTGCTGACTCATCCTTAGAGCTGGACATGTTTGGGATTTTTTATCTCATCCCTGGACTTTTGTGGAAGTGTGATTGTGACATATGCTTTTGCCCATATCCTGAGTGATATTTGTTTTCTGACTGGGCCCAGCCCACAGATAAAATTGTGACGTATACCAAGGCCACGCACCAAGGTAATATGACTGTCCTCATCGGCCTGAACCTGTCACTTCGAAGTGGTTATTACATATTTCTGAATACAACATCTGGTGATGTGACTCTCCTCTTGTGTCAAGGCTTTGAGCACAAAGACTGTGACATATCACTGGGCCCAGCACCTAGATAATGTGCTTGTTCTGCCTTAATTCTCCCCACAGGGAACATAATGACATATTTTTTAGTCAATCACCTGGGTGAAGTAGTGTTCTCTCCTGCCTGGGCCTCAGCATCAGAAGAACATGTGGCATACTGCTGGACACAGCACCCAGGTGATTTGGGTCTTCTCTGCTCCCTGATCTTTGCCAGTAGTGGGGATTGTGAACTACTGCTTAACCCAGCACCTAATTTTTCTGACTCACTTCTTTTGCTAAATCCTAAAAGCAGTGGGAATTGCAACATATTGTGGGAAGCAGCAACTAGGTGATGTGACTCTCCTCTCTTGCCTGGGCCCTGCCCACATTGGGCATTGTTACATAGTGCTGAGTTCATCACCTAAGTAACATTATGGTTCTCCTCTGCTTGGGACCTGTCGATATGAAGGATTGTCGGATATCACCAGGACCAGAACCCAGCTGATATGCCTCTTTTTCCCTGATCCTGCTTTCAGTGCAGATTGACATATTCCTGTCCTAGCATCCAGGTGAGGTGACTCTTCTGCCTGATCTCTCCCTACAGGTGGGATTGTGACATACACTTGGGCTCAGCTCACTGGTGTAATAATGACAATTATACCTTAATCCAGCAAATAGGAGAGACACTGACATTTTTCCTAGTCTTAGGGCAATGTGTGAGGTCTGGCTGTTTCTAGTACAAAGGTCAGAGAAAATTACAATACTCATGCATATTTTATAAGGCTTTCGGTTGGTACAGAAAATGTCATAACAGGGCTCACACGTGAGACTGTGACTCTCATATGCACACCCAGCCAACAGTCAGAATTTTAACTTACACACATGTAAAGGTCTCAAATCTCACCTGTAAATGCAGTTTGCAGTTAGAATTGTGACTTTTTAGGAGGCAGCCACAGGTAGAATGGTGACTGACTTCTGAATGCAACTGACAGGCACACTGACGACTCTCATTCCTGGATACAGCAAAGTAGACACAGGTTGGCTCTCATACCTGGGCTTAGGGCAACAGGTAAAGTCATGTGTCACACCAGCCCAAAATCCTCAGAACAGATTGTGACTCTCATGCATGTCATATAAAGCCTATGGGTGATACAGAAAATGTCATAACAGTGCCAATTACACAGGTGAGATTGTGATCCTTAAATGCACACCCACCCAAAACTAAGAAAGTAAGAGTTGTGACTCTCCCACAAGGACATACCTTACCTTTGAGGTTTGAAGCTGATACCCAGAGGCAGCTGAAAGTTAAAATTATGACTCTCATTCATGGATCTCATCCACAGGTGAGGTGGTGACTCTTGAACCAGAATTCAGCACACCTGTGAGCCTGTTACTTTCATATCAGGACAGTTTCTAGGTGGCATTGGAACTCTCACGCACAGATCCAATTTACTATTAAGATGGTGAGTCCTGTACTTGCACGTAACTCACAGGAGGTGTTGACTCTCATACCTAAAGCTGGGACATGTGTAGAATTGTAAATCTAACCACTGGAACTTCTTGCATGTGTTGTTTTACACAAACATTTGCCTAGCACTTGAGAAATTCCACTTACCTGTGTTGGCCAAACCTACTCAGTGACATTAATAAAGATCAAGCATGTAGGTGATATAACTCTCCTTCCTGGGCACTGCTCTCAAGTGAGATTTTTCAACATTTCTTTGTCCAGCACATAAGTGATATTATTTTCTCCTGCCTGGTTTCTTCACACTGGGAGCATTGTGACATATCACTGGGCCCAACACCTAGGTGTTATGACTCCCCTTTCATATCTGCGCCCTGTCCATTTTAGGGATTGTGACATTGCACTGGACCTAGCACTCAGGTGACGTAAATATTTTTTTCTGTTTGGGTTTTCATATAGAGGGCATGGGTGACATAATGCTGGGCCCAACTTTAAGATGCTGTGACTTTACTTCATGGGGAATGTCCAAAGGGAGCATTGTGACATCTCTCTGGACCCAGCACTTAGATGACGTGACTCCCTTTTTTCTGGGCCCTCCATATATGGGGAATAATGACCTAATGCTGAGTCTAGCTCCTGGGTGCTGTGACTCTTCTGCCTGCTCACAGGTTGCATTGGAGCACATCTTTGGGTTCATCACCTAATGATGTGACTGTCTCCTTCTGCCTGTGCTTTACCCACAGAAAAACCTTGTCCATATCACTGGGCTGAACACCCAGGTAATGTAACTCTCTTTTCTGGACAGTGCCCACAGGAGGAATTGTGACATTTCACTGGGCCCAGCACTGATACAAAGCACCCAGAGGACATGATAATCCAGCCCCATCCCTTCTCCCAGCTAAAAGGGATGAGGATGACTCTTGTAACTTAACTCAGGTAATAAAAGAAATAAGGGCAACCACTAAGGTCCTCAGGTTCCTAATTGTATAAAGATCAGAAAAGATTCCATCACTCACTCATACTATATAAAGCACTCGAGTGGTAGAGAGTATTATGACAGGGCACAGCACACAATTGAGATTGTGACTCTCATGTGACACCCAGGCCACAGTTATAACGGTCATTCTATTACATGGACAAAGCCTGCTGGTAAAATTTTAAACTGAATTGGGAACACAGTCCACAGTTGAAATTTTGATTTTCATAAGTGAATATGGCTACAGTTTCAATGGTGACTCATTTATGGAGTCAGATCACAGGAACAGTGATAACTCTCATACCTGGATCCAGCCAATAAGAGAGATGTTCAGTCTCCTTCCTGATTCTAATGAGGAATCTGGGCAATGAGTAAGACTGTGAATCCATATAGGTATGAAGGTCTCAGATAAAATTGTGAATCTTAAGTGCATACTTTAAAGCCCCTGAGATGTACCATGTGTCATAATAGGGCCCAGCACACCAATGAGACTGTGACTCTTATATGCATACCCAGCCGAAAGTAAGATTTGTCACCCTCTCAGTTGAATACATCACACTGTTGAAGTCCTAAATGTCTTAGCTGAATGCAATCAAAATGTACCATTGTGTCTCAGACAAGAATCCAGTCCAAGAGTTAGTGGCTCTCTGACCTGGACTCAGCACACCTGTGAGGCTGTGAGTTTTCTACTGGGACATAGTCTGCTGGTGAGATTGAGGTCTCATGCACATACCCAGTCCACCATTGAGTTTGTGACTCATGTACTAGAACCCAACACACAGATGTTGAATCTCATATCCAGAGCTGGGACATATACAGGATTGTCAGTCTCATCCCTGCACTTTCCCACAAATGTGATTATGACATATGTCTTTGCCCAGCCTCTCAGTAATTTGACTTTCCTGCCTGGGTCCAGCCCCAAACTGAAATCATGACATATACCTGGGCCAAGCACCTACATGCTGTGACTTTCCTCTTTTGCCTGGGAGATGCAAACAGAAAAGATTGTGACATATTGCAAAGTCCAGCATTTAGGTTATATAATTCTTCCAGGGACATTGTGATATATTCTCCTCTGGAAAGTGGGAAATTGTGACATATTCCTCCCTGGAACATAAGACATTGACATTCCTCTCTATTCCTACAGAGACATTGTGACATATCTCTGGGAAGATTAACTAGATTAAGGGACTCCCTTATACCTGGGTCATTCCCTCAGGGTGGATTATGACATATCATGGAACACAGAACCTAGGTGATTTGATTCTCCTCTACTGCCGGGCCCCATCCACAGTATGATGGGAACATATTGCTGAGCCTAGCAACTAGATGATGTCACTTTCCTTTCCTGCCTGGAATCTGTTCAGTGGGAAAGAGTTATATATTGCTAGGCCCAGCACCTAGGAAATGTGCCTCTAACCTCCTCACAGTGGGCAAGGTGACATGTCACCAGGCTCATCACCTAGGTGATGTAATGCTTCTCCCCTTTCTTGACCCACCCACAGTGGGTGTTGTGACATATTACCATATTCAACAGCTAAATGATGTGACTCTTTTCTCCTGATTGAGCCCTCCTCATAGAGAGCATGGTGACACACAACTTGGCCTTGAATCCAGATTATTTAATTCTCATACTTATGCTCTGCCTATAGGGAACAGTGTGACATGTCTCCACATCCATCACCTAAGTGATGTGACTCTCCTGTCTCACAGAAGAGAATGGAACATGTCACTGGACCCAGCACCTAGAAAATGTATCCCTATGCTTTTCCTAGGCCTTGCTTTTAGGGTAAATTGTGACATGTATTTGGATGTAACTCCTAGGTCGTGTAACTCTCTTTTCATGCCTGGGCAATGCCCAAGGGGAGACTATGACATGTTGCTGAGCCCAGGACCCAGGTCATGTTACCCTCTTGCCTGGCACTGACAGCTCACAAAAGGCATTGTGACATATCCTTGTGCTCATCACCCAAGTATTGGGACTCTATTTACCTGACAGAGTCCTGTTCTTAGGGAAAACTGACATATCACTGCATCCAGCATGTAGGTATGGTAACTTTTATTCCTCTGCCCTGCTCACTGGAAGAATTGTGACATGTCACTGAACCCAGAACCTAGGTGATGTGACTTTTCTCCTGTGCCTTACATACAAAATAATCAGTCCTAGGTGAGGTGACTCTCCTCTACTACCTGTGCCTTGACCCAAAGGGGCATTGTGAAGTATCTCTGGCCCCATTACCTGGGTGAAGCAGCCATGCTCTTCTGAATAATCACTGCTGAGAGATGTGACTGTTAATAAACCCTAAGCCCAGCACTCAAGTGGTTTGTCTCTGCTGATGGGCCCTGCGAACAGAGGGCGTTGTGATACATGTGTGGGCCCATCAACTAAAAATATGACTTTCTATATTAGTCTGTTCTCATACTGCTAATAAAATCATACTCAAGACTGGGTAATTTCTAAAAGAGATAGGTTTAATGGACTCACAATTCTACATGGCTGAGAAGTCCTCACAATAACGGTAAAAGATGAAGGAAGAGCAAAAAGGCATCTTACACTATGGCAGCATAAAGACCTGTACAGGTGAACTCCACTTTATAAAACCATTAGATCTCAGGAGACATATTCAATATCTCAAGAACAGTGTAGTAGAATCACCTGCATAATTCCATTATATTTATCTGGCCTTGCTCTTGACACTTTAGGATTAATAAAATTCAAGGTGAGATTTGGGTGGGGACACTGCCAAATCATGTCACTTTTTGCTCCCATTTGGACCCTACCCATGGGGGAGATTTTGACATATCACCGAACCTTTCATTTTGGTGATGTAACTGGTCCCTGCCCTTAGAGAATGGTGACATGTCTTTGGGCTCAGTACCTACTTGACGGGACTCTCCTCTCCTGCCTGGACTCTGTCATAAAAGAAAATGGTAATACATCACTGAGACCAGCACGTAGGTAATGTCCTTTTCAGCTTCTATCAGGGCCCTGTCTACAAGGGCGAAGGTGACATCATGTGGAAACTATCTCCAGGGTGATGTGACTTTTCTGCATTGGCCTGACCTAAAGGGGGAATTGTGACATATCTCTGGGCCAACACCTAGGTTATGTGACCTTCCTCACCTGCCTGTGCTCTGCCCACCGGAAATGTCCATGTATCTCTGGGCCCAGCACCTAGGTAATGGGATTCTTCTGTCAAAGCACTTCTTATATGAGCCATTGTGACATATTCCTTGGCCCAAGACACAATGATGTGACTTTTCTCTTCTGCTTGGGCCCTACACAAAGGGGATATTGTGATATATCATGGGGCTCATCACCTAGGTGATGTAATTTTCCTTTTGCTTGAGCCTTGCCCACAGAATAAATAGTGACACATTGCTGGGCATTGCACCTAGGTGATGTCATATTTATTTCTGCTCTGGCCTGTATTACAGAGGGCATTGTGATATCTTGCTGATCTTAGCACTCAGGATATGTAACCCTGGGGCCAGAGCTGAGTCCACAGGTGGACTGTGACATATTCCTTGCCCAGCTCCTGGGTGACATGGCTCTTTCTTCCTGCATGGACTCTGACTTCAGTGAGGATTCTGGCATATTGCTGGGCCCTGCACCCAAATGATGTGACTTGGCCGCCTAAATTCTGCCAAAAAAGGCATCATGACGTATCCAATGGGCCAGAATCTACATGTTGTGATTTTCTGCCCCTTGCTGAGATCCAAAATATTGCTTTGCACAGGATAAGGGGTGATGTGGATCTCTAAGCTGGGCCATGCCCACAAGAGGCATTGTGACATACTGCTGAACTCAGCATTCAAGTAATGTGACTTTCTTGCCAGGGTCCTGAACACGGGTTTATTCAAATACTCCTAGACCAACATTCAATCAATGTGACTCTCCTGCCTGCTGCCTTTTCATAGGTGGGATTGTAACATACCTAGGCCTAGCTCACGGGCATGATGATGAATCTCATATGTAGACCCAACCGATAGAAAAGATTTTGACTCACATGGCTAGAATTAGGTGAATAAGTATGGTTCTCTGTTTTCTACTTCTGGTAATATCACAGAAGGCGATGACACTCATGTATATTCTATAACATCCTTGGGTGACAAGAGAGTGTCCCAACAGGACCCAACACACAAGTGAGTTTGGCATCCCATAAGCACACAACCAGCCAACAATTAAAACTGTCACTCTTACACATGGACAGAATCCACTGGTGAGGTCCTGAATCTCACATATGGACAACGTCCACAGTTAGCGTTGCGACTGTCATATGTAAATTCAGCAACGTGTGAGATGATTACTCATTTCTTGACCAAGCTCACAGGTGCAATGACTGTCATACTTTGATTTAGCCAATAGAAGAGGAGTTGATTCTTGAATCTGGGCTTAAGACATTGGGAAAGGTCCCGAGTCTTCTGCTTGTAGAAAGTTCTGAGATTACCAGATTCATGCATATAATATAAAACCCTTAGGTTTTGCAGACATTTTCATAACAGAACCCGAAACAAAGATGAGATTGTGACTCTTCTATGTAAACCCAGCTGACAGGATTATCATCCTCACACATGGACAGAACCCACTGCTGAGGGTTTGACTCTCACTTGCGGATATAGCTAATAGTCACTAATGACTATTTTAGTCAACAGGACAAATATATATATGTATAGCTCAGTTTGTATAGTGACTTATATGTGAATCTTACCACAGGTGGGATGTCTTATTACTGGACCCCACTCACAGGCACAGTGATGACCCTCATAACCAGAGCCAGCAAAAGGAGAAATGTTGAATCTTGTAATAGAATGTTTTGCATGTGTGTGCGTGTGTGTGTGTGCGTGTGTGTGTGTGTGTGTGTATGTGCATTCTTTTAGTTTCTTGAACTTTGAGAAATTGATTGTATGGTATCTTATACAGATGCAAATGTATCAGCTTTTTCTTTTTGCAAAGCTATACATATATATATTTGTCCTGTTGACTAAAATAGTCATTAGTGTTATGTAGATGGATTTGTAGGTCTCAGAACAGAAATCTTATTGTAAATATTACAGCTTAATAAAAGTTTATGATGCATAAATAAAAATATAAATTATACATATTTAGAAGGTAGTTATTTACAATTGCTTACAGCTCACCCGGTCAGCCAAGGCCTATCTTTTTCCAAACCATGCAGACATTGTACTTGCTTGTCTACAGTATCTTCTGGAGTGAAATAACCCTTACTGAGAATGGTCAAAATAAGAAAAGCATTTTTGGCAGATAAATGTTGTAAGAAACAGAGGTAGCTCTGGGTAAAAAATGCTCAGAAAAGAATAAATAAATGAATTGTACCATAGTGATTTTTAAACAAATAAATGCTTCAAGTTCAAATCAAATTTATTTTCTTAATTAAAAACTGCAAAATTACAATTAAAAATAGATTGGTGAATATATTTCATTCATTAAAAACTGCAAAAAATGCAATTAATAATAAATTGATGAATAAAATTAAAAGCCTCTGAGCACAAAGTTTACACTGTAGAGTTTGAAAATAAAGACAATTAGATAATAAATAATCCCTCATACAGTGCTGGTTGCATAAGTTGGTACTACCTTCTGAAGGAGGGCTTCCAATGCCTACACAAGCTGAAGATAGAAATATATTTTTATTATATTTGTGGTTAAATAGCTATATAATTGCACTAGTTTCTGTTTAAAAATGCACAAGACAGTCTGTAGAAGCACTGAAAAATTGGGGAAAATTACCAAAATGTTTATGAACAGTTGAATAAATACATTGTAATGTATTCATATGATGTCACATTGCAGACAAATAAATATACAAACCACTCTAAGTAACAGAGATTAATCTCACAAGGTTAAACAATAGAACCTGGCTCAAAATCTGGACTTATTGTGTTAATCTATTTAAAATTCAAAAACAGGCAAATATTATTTATTGTATAAACAGTCAGAATGTAAGTTTCTCTCGGGGGTACAGTGGTTGAAAAGGAGAATCAAGGAAGGAGAGGTCCCAGGTTGTTCACACTCTTCCATCACTGGGTGCGGGGTTCACAGTATAGGCATTTTGTAAAAATTTATCAAGCTGTTCTTTTACAATATGTGCTTTTTAAGTGTGTAAAATTAAAAACTTTTAAAATATTTTTTTCTTTTTAATTTTTTCTCAATCAGTTTTTGCCGCTTATTTTCTTGGGAAAAAAAGGTAGTTTTATCTAAATTTTCAAATTAAATAAAATTTTTAAAAATATTATATGTTAAATCTTGAATGTATCTATATTATTTTTTGCCTTGTATACTGTTTTTATTTTTCTTGATATAACTTTACCTATATTATTACAATCAAAGAACAGCAAGAATTTCACTGCCATGTTATTATCTCTAAGTAACAGATGAATCAGAGAGGTTAAAAAACTTGTCCAAAGTTACACAGGTACTCTGAGCCTGCTCTTCTGACCGTTAAAGACGTTGGTCTAACTCAGGAAACCTGCATACAATACTACTTCTAAAGGTGCATTAAATTACTATAGCTATGCAAAGCAACATGAAAATGAGGGAAAAATATACATAAATAAAAATGCAAGGCACAGATGAAAACTTATGCTACCATATATATATATATATACAGTCAAAAACCCCAGGAAACACTAAAATGTGTATTATTCATAGATAAAACTGCATAAAGTAAATAACACAATATTTGGATAGTGGTCACTTTAGGGTAGTAGGCTTACAGAAGACTTTAGAGGTATGTACTTTACCAGAGTGTGTGAGGAGTTTATGAAACTAGAATGAAAGTTTCCTTAGAGATCAATTTGTGTTTTTTCTTTACTTCTTTTTCTTCTCTTTTCTTTCCTTTACTCTTCTTCTCTTTTTGAGACGAGGAGTCTAGCTCTGTTGCCCAGGCTGCAGTGCAGTGGCGCCATCTCATCTGACCAAAACCTCCGCTTCTGGGGTTCAAGTGATTCTCCTTCCTCAGCCTACCAAGTAGCCGGGACTACAGGCAAATGCCACCATGGCCGGCTAATTTCTGTGTTTTTAGTAGAGATGGGGTTTCACTATTTGGCCAAGCTGGTCTTAAATTCCTGAACCCGGACGTAATCCGCCCACCTCAGCCTCCAAAAGTGCATGCAACACCGCGCCTGGCCAATACTTTTTCTTAATTTTATCTCCCAAGGCTAGCAAAAAGTATGGCACCACGTGGATGCTCAACACACATTTTTCAGTTCAATGAATGAATACATGTCCTTTGTAAACTGTCAAGCTATGCAAATCAATAATTTATTATTACTTACTACAATGTAGTTAATAGAATCAAATAAAAGGTAATAACGGTTAAGATTCAGAAAGCACTATTGAAAGTTTAATGTTACCCCGGGATTCTTAGCCAAAGTAAAGTACAATTTATAGTCTTAATTTGTGACCAGTGTAACTACATTTAAATTTTCATGTGAAGATGAAACATAAAATCTTTCATCAGGTGAGCATAACTTGAGAGAAAAAAGACATTGAAAAAAATGGAAAAAAGAAAAGAATAAAAACTTGATTTGGGGAAATAGTTTTCTCCTCTTCTGGTGCAGATGGAGGCTGGCTGGGGAGGCTGGGTCTCTTTGTAGTCCCCTCAGTGGCAGTGGCTGATCTCTGCTCAGGCAAGAGGGGCAACGCCCTGAGCTGGGCCTGAGGCTCTCTGGCCAAGCCCTTTATCACTTCCCTGGACTCTTCACAGTGTCTCTGTGTCCCTGCCTTCCTGAGCGTCTTTTTGATGAAAACGGAGGTGGCAACAGGAAGCTGGTAGAATAAACTGGCCTCTCAGGCTGATACATCTCTCCCAGGAAATGCTCTGGTTAATGTCCACTTTCTGCGCTTGGAGCTGGGACTGGACTCAGGGTTGCCACTAAGGAATCCCCGGGCTGGGCGACACCAGGCATGAGCGCTCCAGCTGCTGCTGAGTTTCATTCTGTACTAGGCTGGGCAGCGGCTGGAACCAGCATGGGTAACAAGTGTAGGAAACACCCTGCAGCGGGGAGGAAGTGGTAGCCATGGTTTTTAAAAATTTGGCCCTGCTGACAAATTTCTGACACCGGAAACAGAAGAACCAAGAGAAACTGCTCTAGAGCTTCAGCCAAATGGATGGACTGTTGGAGTAGCTGAGGGGGAAGCTGCCTGAACTCCTCAAAGTTGAGCAGCAAAGTAACCACCAGAGATGGACAAGACAAATGAAAGTCTAAGAAAATTAGCAAAAACCAAAGACAGATGCTAAAGATGAGAAACAGTTCACACCATGATGGAAACAGAGTCGATGAAAACAGTGGAAAACTGTAGCCATTAACACAGAAAAAAAGAAGGGCTATTATATATACACGGCTGGAATACACATTAAATGACAAATGAAACAAGATAATTAGGAAATAAATACTGAATTTCTTTTTAAACTCAGCAAAATTCAGTTTTGCAGCCTGAAAAAAAATATACTCTCCACATGAAGAATCGAATCTTGTTTGTTTACCTTTGATATTTTCTAACTCTAACGTGAAGTTACAAACTAAATTAAACCAGACACATTTATGCCTTACTATGGAGCATCAGTTACACAGCAAGCACTGCCACATTTATTGTAAAAGCATTCTCATGGCTTCTGAAGCTCCCTTAGTACTTACCTAAACAAATTGACCAAATCAATAAATATGTCTACTCTTGTCTATTATACAAAGTGAAAAAAACAATAACTTAGGAAAAGTAGGCTTATAGAGCATTCTTCAAATTAAAGAACATTGAATGTTCTGACTAAATACAATTTAATGCACTAATTTTGGAATCACAGCTAAAATTATTTTGTGGGTATAACTAAATTTTTTTTTTCTTTTTTGAGAAAAAATCTCCCTCTGTCACCCAGCCTAAAGTGCAGTGGTGCAGTCTTGGTTCACTGCAAACTCCATCTCCTGGGTCAAAGCTGTTCTCCTGCCTCACTCTTCTGAATAGCTGAAATTACTGGTATGCACCACCACACCTCACTAATTTCTGTATTTTCAGTAGAGACGGGGTTTCACCATTTTAGCCAGGCTGATCTCAAAATCCTGACCATAGTTAATATGTTCACTTTGGCCTCCCAAAGTGCTGAGATTACAGGTATGAACCACTATGTCTGGCCCATGACTAAATTTCACTAAAATCATTTTTATAATCACAGAGCAGCTCACAAACTTAGTGCTTTGTAAACCACAAAACAAAATGTTTAATAAACAAGTCATGAGTCTAACATAAGTATCAGGCAAGTAAAAACAGATAATTTGTATGAGAAGATTCTGAACCATAAGCCATAATATATTACAGTAATAAATTCAATGCAAACTAGAAAGTATAGATTTGCAGCTTTGTGCTGTGGCAGTATCATAGTCAATGAGGTTTATCCAGGCACGATTAATGGAATTGAAAACTTTTTCCAATACCCCACTAGGATGAGGTGAAATTTAGCTAGCACTGGCAATTTCTGGCAGTCTCTACGGGGACTTAATTAATTAAAAATCAAAAGAAAAGAAAGATAGAAAAAAGAAAGTAAAGATTTGCATTCAGCATTTTTGAGTATTTTTGTTTTCTAAAAAATTAGACATCTGGCTGGGATTGGTGACTCATACCTGTAAATCCCAGTGCTTTGGGAAGCAAAGATGGGTGGATTCACTTGAGGTCAGGAGTTCAAGACTAGCCTGATCAATATGATGAAACACCATCTGTAAAAAAATACAAAAATTAGCTAGGTGTGGTGGCCTACACCTGTAGTCTCAGCTGCTGGAAAGCCTGAGGAAGAAGAGTTGCTCGAATCTGGGATGTAGCTAGCTGACATCATGCCACTGCACTCCAGCCTGGGCAACAGAGAAAGACTCTGTCTTAAAAAAAAAAAAAAAAAGAAAGAAAAGAAAAAAAAGAAACAGAAAATTAGACACCTTATTAAAATTATTTTCTTCCAATATTAATATTTTATTCTGAAAATACTTACAAACTCATCCTCAAACACAATTAATTTATAATTTGTTCACACCTATAGTTTGTATTTAGACTAACAGATGTGTATGTTTAACTCTATGTAAATGAAAACTAAAAGTTGGTGTGTTTGCAAGTATACAGGCCAGGTATTCAAAAAATATATATAATAAATTTTGAAAGGTATTTATTCAGGACTCAGATACATGTAAGTTTTGTTTTTAACTGTATATAATTTTTACTATTACAAAAATTATTCTGTAGTCAATAACATTTTAATTGTACATTTTAAAATAACTAAAACTGTAGAAGTAAATTGGTTGTAATGCAAAAAATAGGTTCTAGAGGTGATGAGTATCTCACTTAACCAACTGTGATTATTATATATTGTATACCTCTATCAGAATATGTATATATAACATAAATATTATGTACCCACAAAAATTAACAGGAATAAATTTGAAGGTTAAAAAAAAGAGAGAAAAAACTATTACCTGTGGAAAAAATATTCCTTAACTTATTTGAAGTTTTAAGCCATTGGCAAAAAAGATTAGAGTTGTTATTACATCATCTTACCATCTTATACCAACACATTTGAGTAAAGGGGACGAGGTTAAAGTAAGTGTAATAACAAGACTTAATTTAATATCCAATATTTGACATGTGATACACTGAAGACATGAAATTCATACATAATCTGAAATTTTTAAAATGTGCTACATTTTGTTTCATGAAAGTACAATTAATAAAATCATGTACTATCAATTGATTTTAATTTTTTTTGAAATGGAGTCTCACTCTGCCACCCAGTTTGGAGTGCAGTGGCACAATCTTGGCTCACTGCAACCTCCACCTCCTGGGTTCCAGCAATTCTTCTTCCTAAGCCTCCCGAGTAGCTGGGACTACAGGTATGACTACAACCTCTGGCTAATTTTTGTGTTTTTAGTAGAGACAGAGTTTCACCATATTGACCAGGCTGGTCTCAAACTTTAGACCTAGTGATTTTCCAACATCAGCCTTCCAAAGGGCTGCAATTACCAATGTGAGCCACGATACCCAGCCAATTTAACTAAAACTAAAAATATTTGTCTCTTAATGCAATGCACAAGAATACTACTCTGAACACTTACCTCATACATCACTCGATATTGTAAGTTAACCACAAAGAACCATTTTGCTTAGATTTTTATCATGCATCTTACATTTTTATATCCTTACTCTTTCATAAAAGAGGTCATAAATGCTCACCTAATAAAAACAATTTCTCATGTCTTTCATATAACAATTGGTCACAAGCTTTTATGTGTAAATATAATAGGAATACAGAAACAAAATGGACCTGGCATAGTGACTAATACCTGTAATCCCAGCATGTCGAAGGCTGAGCTGGGTGGATCACTTCAGGTCACAAATTTGAGAATAGCCTCGCCAACATGTCAACACTCCATCCCTAAAAATATAAAACATAGCTTTGCATGGTGTTATGTGCCTGTACTTCCAGCTACTTGGGATGCTAAGGCAGGTGAATCACTTAAAACCGGGAGTTGGAGGTTGCAGTGAGCCAAGGTCACACCACTGCACCACAGCCTGTGTGTCAGAGTTGCAAAAAAATTTTAAAGTAGTAATTGTTTAAGAATGAAGTAATTTGAGTTAATTACATTACTAGCATGAAGTAGAGTTAGTTACATTATTTACTTTAAAAAAAATCTGTAATCTTGTCAAAACAAAGTATACTTGTAATTATAAATCTCCAAAAAATTTTCTACTCTTTTAAAGTTGCATACAAATAATTTTTCTACCACCTTTAGTTTTAGATTATATTGTAGACACAGAACATTGCCTTAGTGTAAAGTCTGAAGTGTCAGTGCCTTATACATTTCTAATTCTGATTATTTCAATAGACTTCATCTTGCATTAAATATTCTTTTTCTATTTACTCTGTCTGAAAAAAATATTTTTTAGCATGAACACTCTGGAGTTTCTGCAGCTATTAAGGTCTTTCTTTCCCAGATGTATTATATTTGCAGAATTCTCTAATGCTGAAAAAAGTTTGAGCAATTGCTTCAGGGTTTGCCTCTAATACAAAATAAACATAACAAGTTCTGTTACAAGTTACCACAACTCTCTTTATATTTGTAATGTTAGCCTTTGAAATAAATGTTCTCCAGCACTTTAAAGGTTTATATTTTCTGAAGAATCTTTTGAGAGAATTGCATTTTTAATACTTTTGTTAAGTATAAGCTCTTTCATATACAGTAAGATTGTGAGCATATATTTACCACTTTTTACTTTCATTAAATTTGTACATTTGTTCTCAAATGTAAATGGTTTCCTGTGCGATGAGGTGTGAGCATTATTTAAAAGTTTTGTGGCATTGTTTATACTTGTAGAAGTTTTCTCCAGTATGAATTACCTTACCTAAAATCAATTGTGATAATCCTTTAAAGGCTTTCTCACATTATTTACATTTCTATGACTTCTCACCAGCACAATTTCTTTGATGCTTGGAAATGTTTGAGGTGTGGTCACAAGCATTGTCACAACTTTTGGGTTTCTAGAATTTCTCTCCAGTATGAATCATATAATGTCTGTAAAGAATTGAGGACTAGTTAAAGGCTTTGCCACATTCTTTGAATTTTAGGGTTTCTCTTCATTATGAATTATGTTAGGTCTAGTAAGATTTCATGACTGGCTAAAGGCTATGCCATATTCTTCACATCTATAGAGTTTCTCTCCAGTACAAATTCTCTTATGTGTAGAAAGTTTTTGAGATTCAACAAAACCTTATCCACATTCCTCACATTTCTAAGGTTTCTCTCCAGTATGAATTCTCTTCATTATTCAAGAGTTTAGGCGTGGTTAAAAGCTTTGCCACATTCCTCACATTTGTAGGGTTTCTATCTAGTATGAATTATCTTATGTTTAGCAAGGTGTGAGAACTGGTTAAAGGATTTTCCACATTCTTCACATTTGTAGGGTTTCTCTCCAGTATGAATTCTCTTATGTCTAGTAAGGATTGAGGATTGGTTAAAAGCTTTGCCACATTCCTCACATTGGTAGGGTTTGTCTCCAGTATGCATTTTCTTATGCATTGTAAGAGCTGTGCAGCACCAGAAAGATTTACCACATTCTTCACATTTGTAGCGTTTCTCTCCAGAACAAATCATCTTATGTCTGGAATGGCTCAAGTACCAGGTAAAAGCTTTGCCACACTCCTCACATTTGTAGGGTTTCTCTCCAGTATGATTTCTCTTATGTCTAGCAAGGTTTGAAGACTGGTTAAAAGCTTTGCCACATTCTTCACATTTGTAGGGTTTCTCTCCAGTATGAATTCCCTTATGTGTAGTGAGGTGTGAGGATCCATAAGCGGTTTCTCCACATTCTTTGTATTTGTAGCATTTCTCTCCAGTATGATTTCTCTTATGATAAGTAAGGCTTGAGGAGTGGTTAAAAGCTTTCCCACATTCCTCACATTTGTAGGGTTTGTCTCCAGTATGGATTCTCTTATGTGTAATAAGGGTTGAGAACCACCTAAAAGATTTGCCACATTCTTCACATTTGTAGGATTTCTCTTCGGTATGAATCTTCTTATGTCTACTAAAGCCGGAGTGCCACCTAAAAGATTTGCCACATTCTTCACATTTGTAGGATTTCTCTCCAGTATGAATCTTCTTATGTCTATTAAAGATGGAGTGCCTCCTAAAATATTTACCACATTCTTCACATTTGTAGCCTTTCTCTCGAGAACAAATTATCTTGTGTCTAGTAAGCTGTGAGTATCGGCTAAAAGCTTTGCCACACTCCTCACATTTGTAGGGTTTCTCTCCAGTATGAATTCTCTTATGTCTAGCAAGAATTGAAGAGTGGTTAAAAGCTTTGCCACATTCCTCACATTTGTAGGGTTTCTCTCCAGTATGAATGATCTTATGTCCAGTAAGGGTTGAGGATTGGTTAAAAGCTTTGCCACATTCCTCACATTTGTAGGGTTTCTCTCCAGTATGTATGATCTTATGTCTAGTAAGGGTTGAGAAGTGGTTAAAAACTTTGCCACATTCCTCACATTTGTAGGGTCGCTCTCCAGTACGAATTCTTTTATGGGTAGTAAGGTGTAGAAACTGGCTAACAGTTTTTCCACATTTTTTATATTTGTCGGGTTTCTGTCCACTATACATTTTTCTATATGTAGAAAGGTTTGAGGCCTCATTATAGGCTTTGCCACATTCTTTAAATCTGTAGGGTCGTTCTCTGGTATAAATTCTTTTATGTTCAGCTAAGTCTGAAAGTGTGTAAAATAACATTTGGCATTCCTTATGTTTCAAAGGTTCCTTTTCACTTTGTCTTATCTTATGTCTGCTTGAATGTGAATATTTATGAAAGACTTTCACTAATTTGTTGCATTGAAATAATTGGTTTTGGGTAGCCATCAAAACCTGGTTAAGTCCATTGTAACATTCTTTGTGCACCTTAAACTCATCGGTGCTTTGACAACATTTTCTTAACTGAAAATTTTCATGTCTACATTTTTTGTATCTTCTCAGTATCACTTTTTGGAAATGATTTTTTATTCCCTGCTTTGGCCAAAGATCTTGGGCAAAATAAGAAGATGCAACTGAAAGAAATAAAAAACAAAAACAAAAACCAAATTACTCAAACAAATTACTCTGCCTACTCTACTCAGATTAATATACAAGTCTTACCTATAAAATTACACAAATTACACTACAAAATGGTATAGCAAAATTTTACAGGCTCCAGTTTTTTCAAAGACATATAGAGGTGATAAATACATACAGACAAAATTACATTTGTAAAAAATTAAATTGTGTGCAATATCCCCAGTGAGTTTAATGAAAAGAGCCACAGAGAAGAAAAGTCTCTTATATTTACCAAACACAGATCTTCCTGCTTCCCAATATGACATAGTGACTTGAAATAAATTGCCAACTGCTGGTTTCTTTGTTAAATGACAAGAAAAATGCTGCCTTATACATTTTTATTTCTGAATGATACAGTATTTTACAGACCCTGGTTGCTGTTTCTCACTACATCAAGTTCTGAAATAGTGGTATTCTTTCAAATGACAATTTGAGTCTGTTGAGACAGAAGGTAAGTTCTGTAGAAACATAAAGACTGTGGTAGCACAGACATAAAACAATTGTTCAAAGTGATTGTTGGTTATTAAGAAGAAACATAAATGGCTGAGTGTTGTGGTTCACAGCTGTAATCCTAGCACTTTGGGAAGCTGAGGTGGGTGGATCACCTAAGGCCAGATGCTTGAGACCAGTCTGGGTGGTATAGTAAACCCCAGTCTCTACTGAAAATACAAAATATTTGAGCATGCAGATACATGCCTGTAATGGCAGCTATGTGGGAGGCTGAGACAGAAGAATCACTTGAACCTTGGAGGTACAGGCTGCAGTGAACAAAGACCATGCCACTGTACTGCAGTCTGGTGACAGAGGAAAAACTCTGTCTAAAAAACAACCTTCTGCAACACCTGAATTCTGAAAAACTATACAGGAACTGCATATTCCAAATTTCTCACACATAAAAGACGCTACAGGTAGTTTCTTAAAGTATGGCAATTCGAGAAAATGGCAAATAATCAAATATATATACATTAATTTTTGTGAAAGAGATGCACATACACAAAAAGAAAATCTTGTGGCATTATATAATGAGGCAGAAAACATTTCTAATTATTCTCTAATATTTTAAAAATAAAAGCACAAAATCAGAAACATCTGTTAATAAATCTACAATTATGTTGGTAAAAACATAATTACCAACGTCAACGACAAATGTAGAGGCAGATGTAAAAAATAAAATCTTTTTATTCAACTAAAATTTATTTTGTACTAATTAAAAATGTACTGGTTGTTTTCATATAGGTTTTATATAATCCCCAAGATACCATTAAAAAAAAATTGGTACAGATACAAAAAAAGGAAATTAAAAATAAGTAAAATTGGACCAGGCGTGGTGGCTCACGCCTATAATCCCAGCACTTTGGGAAACTGAGGCAGGTGGATCACGAGGTCAAGAGATCGAGACGATCCTGGTCAACAAGGGGAAACCCCATCTCTACTAAAAATACAAAAATTAGCTGGGCATGGTGGTACATGCCTGTAGTCCCAGCTATTTGGGAGGCTGAGGCAGGAGAATTGCTTGAACCCAGGAGGCAGAGGTTGCAGTGAGCAGAGATCATGCCATTGTACTCAAGCGTGGGTAACAAGAGCGAAACTCCGTCTCAAAAAAAAACAAAAAAAAATAAGTAAAATTATATCAATAGACACAAAACAAGACAGAGAGTAAAGAAGAAACAAAGATTTAAGAATCTAATAAAATAATTAAAAACATTGTCTTTCACCTTCAAAATATTATTTAAATACATATATAAAATTAACTTTCAAATTAAGAGACATACTTTCAATACATAAATTTATTAAAAGTTTAAAAACCAAGATTCCTTTTTTTCTCGCAAAAGACAATTGAGATCAACTGATTAAAAAAACAAAAAACACTGAACAGGGCAAGAGGGAAGCACACATTTAATGCAAATATGAATCACTGAGAACAGAGAAAATCAAAATAATATGCAGAATAATACACAATATTATACATATTAAGTTAAAAATTGTTACATTTTAAAAATGTATTTCAAGTTAAAATTTTATGGAGACAAAAAAGGACATTAAAACTTAGAAATTTAGAGCTGGATTCAGTGACTCACACCTGTAATCCCAGCAATTTGAAAGGCTGAGGAGGGTGTATCACGGGTTCTGCAGTTCGAGACCAGCCTGAACCCTGTCTCTACAAAAAAAATTGGCTGGGTGCAGTGGCATGCACCTGTAATCCCAGCTATTCAGGAGGCTGAGGCAAGAGAATTGTTTGAACCTTCAAGGCAGAGTTTGCATTGAGCCGAGATAACACCATTGCACTCCAGCCTGGGTGACAGAGTGAGAATACAACTTAAAAAAAAAAAAAATCTTACAAATTTAGGTCAGGTGCAGTGGCTCATTCCTGTAATCCTGGCAGGTTGGGAGGTAGAGGCAGGCGAATCACTTGAGACCAGGAGTTCAAGACTCAACTCACCAACATGGTGAAACACCAGTCTCTACAAAAAACACAAAAATTTACCAGGCATGGTGGTAAGTGCTTGTAATACTAGCTATACTGTAATCCTAGGTAATATTATAATGATGTTCATCTTTGTCAGTGCAATCAAGGGATTTTTATTTTATTTTGAGTTGGAGTCACAGTCTGTCACCCAGCCTAGAGTGCAATGATGGGATCTCAGCTCACCACAACCTCCACCTCCTGGGTTTAAGCAATTCTCCTGCCTCAGCCTCCCAAGTAGCTGGATTACAGGTGTGCACCATCACACCTGGCTAATTTCTGTATTTTTATGTATAGACGAGGTTTCACCATGTTTGTCAGGCTTGTCTTGAACCCCTGACTTTGTAATCTGCCTGACTCCATAATCTGCCTCAGTCTCCCAAAGTGCTGGGATTACACATGTGAGCCACCATGCACAGCTGAAAAGAACAAATTTAATACAAAAATTTTCAATTTCTCATTGTGTTTTGAAGAAAATACAAACAGCAATCCTGAGAGTATAGAATCTCTACAGACAATTCCTGGGAAGATGGCATGGTAGGGGAAACTTGGGATTGCAGCTCTCAGTGAAGACGCAGAGGGTGAGTGCAGGCCACATTTCCAGACGAATCTTTGTTGCCCACCGAACGGGGAGGTTCCCAGGTTCAGGAGAGACACGAAACACCAGCACATCTGTTTTAGCTGGCGTGGCCGTTTCGGCCGGCGCCGCAGCACAGCATAACTCCACACAAAACGCACTGGTCTGGGTGCCCTGTTAAACCAGCAATCTGAGATTTGGGAGGGCAGATTAGCATATCCATCTGATTGAACAGGACTTGAACAGTGAGCCAGACCAGGAGATTCCCAGGAGGCGACATTTGAGCCGGAGCAGTGGGTCGCGGCACAGAAAATTACACAGATCCCGGTACCCTATCAGCAGGCGACTAAAACGCCTGGGACAGAGTCAACTGTTCAACTTAAAAAGAGAAGAAAAAGAGCTCTGAGACAGGAAGCCCAGTGGTCAGGCTCAGCAAGTCCCACCCCCACAAGGACAAACAAAATGGCGATTCGAAATGCTCGGAATAGAGTTTCACTGCGGGCACAGCTGAACCCAGGACGATGCAGCTCAGTGGGGGAGAAGCGTTTGCCATTACCGAGGCATTCTGCCCCTACTGAGATACACTCCCATTGCTAACACAGCCTGCCGTTGCCAAGACAACCTGCCATGACAGAGAGACTCCAACAACAGAGTGGAGCACATGACAGCAGGGCGGAGCCCACAGCAACAGGGTGGAACCCACGACAAAAGGGCGGAGCCCAAGGTAACAGGGCGGAGCCCACGGCAGCAGGGCAAAGCCCATGGCAGCAGGGCAGAGCCCAAGGCAACAGGACAGACCCCACGGAAGCAGGGCGGATCCTCAGCAGGCAAATAGTGACTAGACTACCTCCTAGCTGGGCAGGACAGTGCAATGGAAACTCATAAAGAACGCCCTAACTCCCCGAGACAGAGCATCTGAGGAATAAAAGAAGTTTTATGAGTTCTGCTGCAGCAGACTTAAACATACATGCCTAACAGCCCTGAATGATCAAAGGAGCTCACAGCTCAGCACTTGAGCTCCTATAAACAACAGACCACCTCCTCAAGCAGCTCCCTGACCCCTGTATATCCAGAGTCACCTCAAAAAGGACTGATAAGACTGACATTTTGCGGGCATCATTCTGAGATAAAGACAGCAGAACAAACTGGTAGCATCACTCACTGTTGAGCAGATGCTACAGGTGTAACCCAGACAAGCAGGGCCTGGAGTGGACCTCAGCAGTCGTACAGCAGAGGAGCTAGACTGTTAGAAGAAAAACTAAGTAACAGAAATACTTCATCATCAACAATATGGGCGTCCACTCAGAAACCTAATCGAAAGGTCAGCAACTACTCAGACGACAGGTGGAAAAACCCACAAAGATGGGGAAGAAACCAGCACAAAAAGAAAAGAACAACCGAAACCAAACACCTCGCCTCCTACAAAGGACCAAAACTCCACCAGCAATGGAACAAAGCTGGACAGAGAATGAGTGTGATGAAATGACAGAATCAGACTTCAGAAGGTGAATAATGAGACTTCCATGAGCTAAAAGAACATGTTCTAAATCAATGCAAAGAAACTAAGAACCTTGAAAAAAGATTTGAGGAAATGATAACAAGAATGGACAACTTAGAGAGAAATATGAATAAACTGAAGAAGCTGAAAAACACAATACGAGAACTTCACGAAGCATGCATAAGTTTCAACAGCCGAATTGACTAAAAAGAATAAAGAATATCAGAAGTCAAAGATCAACTCAATGAAATAAAACGAGAAACCAAGATTAGAAAAAAAAGCGCAAAATGGAATGAACAAAGTCTCCAAGAAATGTGGGACTATGTGAAGAGACCTAACCTACGTTTGAAAGGTGTACCAGAATGAATCCAAGCTGGAAAATACTCTTAAGATATTATCCAGAAAAATTTCCCCA